GAGACTGGCCTTGAACTCTTGATCCTCCTGCCTCAGTCTAAGTGCTGGGATTATACACATGTGCCAACACACCAGGTTCCATATAGGAAATCTTGAGGAAAAAAATAGGTAGAAGGTGGGTACAGAAATTAAATGGTATTAGGGACATACTACTTTTGAAAAGTCTACAGATATCCAAATGAAGCTCTCATGTAAATCAGGAGCTATATGAAACAGGAGCTCAAGAAAGGAGCTAGGGCTAAAGTTATAGCTTTGAGGGCCAATGGTCTATAAGTAGAATTTAAAATCATAGGAAAAGAGAAAAGAATCAACCCAAGAAAATGAGAAAGAGAAAGAGGTACAAATCCAAAGTCTAGTGCTGAACCATTCCAACATGTAAAGATAGAGCTTAGAGAAGCCAGGAAAGGGACCAAGAAAGAAGAATCAGGACAGAAAACAGAAACATGCTGTCCTGGAAACCAAAACTGGGTGGGTGTTTCTGTTGATGAGCTAGGCGCCCAGCCAAACAGTGTATAGAATGGTGTGTGGCCAATGACGTGTGCAGAATTAGCCAAGGTGCAAAAAGACAGAATTTATTCAAATACACGGCAAGGAAAGTCCCCTGAGAGAGAATTGTGCCACTGGGAGAGGCAGAAGTCCTTTTACAGCAGTTGAGGAGGAAGTTATTTAATTTTATTATCACATCATGAGTGCAATAGTTAGTTTTTATTTATTTATTTTTAATTGTGTGAATATGTGTGTGTGTGGGGGGGAGTTATGTTCATGAATGCAGGTGCCCACAGAAGCCAGAGGTGTTGGATCCCCCAGAAATTGCAGTTACAGATGGTTTTTAGCTTCCTGATATGGTCACTAGGAACTGAACTCAGGTTTCCCCAGAAGAGTAGTATGTGCTCTTTAACACTGAGCCATCTCTCCAGCCACAATGGTTTTAAGTGTCAACTTGACACAATCTAGAATCACCTGGGAAAAGTATCAAGGAGGGACTGTCTAGCTCAAATTGGCCTGTTGGCATGTATATGGGGAAATTACCTTAATTATGTTAATTGATGTAAGTGACCTGCCTACTGTGCCACATTAGGCTTGGAGTTGTGGACCAGATAATACAGAAAGTGCTTTCACGCCCTTGGCCATCTTGGCAGCTGCTCTTGGTTGGGGGCCATCTGCACCTAAGGCAGGAAGATGGTGGCTGCAAAGATGAAAAAGTCTCTGGAGCCGATCAACTCTGGGCTCCAGCTTGTTATGAAAAGTGGAAAGTACATGCTGGAGTATAAGCAGACTCTGAAGATGATCAGACACGGCAAGGCCAAATGGTCATCCTCGCCAACAACTGCCCAGCTTTAAGAAAATCTGAAATAGAATACTATGCCATGTTGGTCAAAACCAGTGCCCATCACCACAGTGGCAATAATATTGAATTGGGCACAGCATGTGGAAAACACTACAGAGTCTATGCATTGGCTGTCATGGATCCAGGTCATTCTGACATTATTAGAAGCATGCCAGAGCAGACTGGTGAAAAGTTAACCCGCAAATTTTAATAAAAACTTTGCAGAGCTTGAGAAAGTGAGGTGAGCAATAAGCAAGCATGCACTCATTCTCTCCCTGATCTCGACTGGATGTGACGAGCTGCTTCAAGCTCCTGCCTTGACTTCCCTATAATGACAGACTGTAACTTGGACTTATAAGCACAACACAGCCTTTCTCCCTTAACGTTGCTTTTGTAAGGGTATTTTACCAGAGCAACCAGATATGAAACTCCGACAGTGGGAGTCCTGTGTGGGCCCATATCTGAAGAGACGGGCAGACCTCTTAATATCTTGTTATGTACTAAATTTTACAGTATACACTGTTTTTCTTGAGACTGGCCATTTGTGTAAAACCACTGTGGGTCATTAGAAGTTAGGCTCCAAATGTCTGTAAGGCATCATGAGTCAGGTGCCAAATGGTCATGGCTGGGTTGTTAAAGTGTAGGAATTTTGCTCTTATCCATTTTTGGATGTTTTTCTCTACAACAGTCTATATGCTGCAGGCTTGCCTGAATATCTCAGCCCTCCTACCTCAACCTCACAAATACTGGATTACAGGTGTGCATCATCATACCCAGCTCCAAGTATTTCTTAATTCAGAGCAAAATCACCCATGTCCAGCACTGGGAGGTGGAGAAACACAGAAGTGCCCACTGGCAACATGACATCACTAGTGACCCAGACAATGCAGTTTCAGTGAGTGGTGGCAACAGCAACCCCTTCAGAGTCGGAAAAAGACAGAGAAGTGAAAACATTTAGACAGCTCTTTTGATAAGTTTTCCTATGAACGTTGGCAGAGAAATGGGCAGTAGCTAAAGGAATGGAAGGGTTTAAAGCAGGAATGTGTGAGGACAAGATCCTGCTAGGATGTGGTGATACATGCCTTTAATCCAGGCACTCAGGAGGTGGAGACAGGATCTCCATGAGTTGAGACCAGCCTGGTCTACATAGTGAGTTCCAGGCCAATTATGGCTACATAGTGAGACCCTACCTCAAAAAAACTAAAAACAAAACAAAACAAAAAGGTAGAAGATCCTAGATCTAGATCTAGACACGTGATCTAGAACAAATGTTAATGAAGATTAGCTGTCCAGAGGAAGATGATGCAAGAGGGAGAAAATGATTGTACACCACACAAAGTCCAGTGTCTTTAAGATGTTCAAAGGAGCTGGCATTCATTGGGCAGGTGGGGGTGGGGGCAGTTTGAGGGAGGCCAGGATACTTCATTCACTGAAACAGAAGGCAAAGTAGGGAACAAGAACAGATGTGCCCCATGGTTGGCATGCTAAAGAAAGGAAATGGTTTCAATCTTGATGTGGAGGGGCAGGCAAGGTGATGAACTGAGAAACAAGGAATTTTTGAGAGGCAGAAAAAGGTGGAAAATAGCAATTTCAAGGGGTGGGAAACAGACAAGGAGAGAACATAAGGCTTGTGCAGCATTGCTGAGGCCCATTTTAGGGTTGTGGCCATGAATTTCAGAACAGATACAATTTTCAGATGTTCAACACCCAGAGATGCAGTTTATCCAGTCTACTATGAAGGAAGCAGAGTGGTAAGGAGGTCAAAGGTATTGGCAAGACAGCATTGCTATTAACACACCAAGCCACCTGGGCTGAATAAGGAAAGAAAGGACCTGAGGGGAAGTGACGGCTAATGAAGCTCATGTTCCAGAAATGGCTACTTGTCTACCAAAGCTGTCTTTCTTCCCCTGAACAGAACATTCAGCACATGGCTAGCGAGGCATATGACAGTTCTCAGGCTCTCGTTTCTTATGCATATCCATATGGTTAGGACCACTCCAATGGGATGTGTACAGAAGTGATGTATGTCACTGATGAACAGGGGCCTATAACCAAGCAGAGCCTCCTCCACACTCTTACCCTTACCTCAACTCAATCCAGGATGATGCCACAGGGGACAGCAGAGAAACAAGACGTAAGACATATGGGGTCCTTAGATGGCTATGTGTGGTAGAACCACTCACTGACTAAATTATTTGCCCCGTCAGAGGCAGGGATGTTATAGTTTGGGTGTAAAATGTCCCTCACGGGCTCATACACTTGTATACTGGGTCCCCAGCTGGTAGCACCATTTTCAGAGGCTATGGAACTTTTTGCATATGAGGTCTACCTGGCACATCAGGGCTATAAAGAATGGGAATTATAGCTGGCCAGTTCCTACCCAAGGTATCTGTTTCCTGGTTGGCTTCTAAGATGAGAACAAGCTGCCTCACATGCAGAATCTACTCCAGCCCCATGAACGCCACCATGCTTCCTCATCATGTAACCATCAACTATAACAAATCCTTCTTCCCCTAAGTCGCTTTGCACAGGTATTTGGTTGCAGTAACAAGAAAAGTAATACACAGAGTGTGATAATACTGTCAACCTGACAGGATCTAGAACCACCGAGAAGACAAACTTCTGGACAGGTCTGCAACAGTTTCTAGATAAGGTTAACTGACGTGGGAATTCCCATCCTAAATGTGGGTGGCATCATTCTGGGCTACACAACCCATTCCTGCTGAGCCAGTTCCAGTGGCCCTTCCCTAGTATTCATTGTCTTGTTTCTCCTTCACCTCCCTCAGGGTCCTCAGAGACCCTCTGTAAGAGCTTTTCTGTGTTGTATTACTAAGCGCCACCTCTTTATGTCACTCATTCTTAGCATCTTGCTAGTGTCCACGTCCTGACTCATGGTAGGTGCTCAAATCTTGTACTGAAGGCTGAGAATAAATTTAGCTACTCAGTACTGAAGATGATATCATCAGAACTTTTTAGTGGGGATCAGCATCTCATCACATTTCTTATGTTCTCAGAGGAAGTCTGGCCGAGGGAATACAGGATCCAGCTGTTTGTATCCATGGTTCCTTTTATAATTTGCTCTGGTACCCAACATTCAAAGGTAACTTCTAAGGCAGATGTTTCTAAACAAGCTGATTCTATTACGGGGGATACATTATGCAGAAATATAAACAGGCTGATGAGCCTCTGGAGGGGACTAGTTGAGGATGTGACAGATGGGTATAGTCTAGGGGCCAGGGGGTATCTGTAAGATAGCTGTGACAGCTCAGTCACCCAGGGACAACCAGTTTGATCTCTTTAGGGACACACAGAGCTTGCCAGTTCCCACTACCCAAAGGACAGTATGAGTACGTGCCACAGTGTTTGTTTCTGCCAAGGCTCACAAGGGCTGCCTGCTCTCTCACCAGCAGGACACCAGCAGCAGATGCAAGCATGCTTCCACATGAGGATGTGTGATTACCTCCACTTCTCCAGCACTAATGATTACAAGCAGAAAGCCCTTGGGAAGGAAACAATGCTGACAAATGACTGCCTTCCACACTGGTACTTGCCACTTAGTGCTCTCAGGAGCAGCTGCTGCATCCAGGGCCTCTCATTTCTCTCATAGTCCCTCTCCAAACCCAAGTATCCAAAAAGCACTGGTGTGAGGGAAACATCAAGCAGAAGACAGTTATATAAGAAAATACCAAGGCTTTATTTTTCTCTTACAAAGACAGCCCTGCTCACTGGAGAAATGGAAAAGATACATACTTCTCATGAATAAACAGCATTTATCTGCTACAGGCTGCAGACCATAATGCCAAAGAAGTGACATCGAGGGGGAAAGACGTAATGCTTTTACCTTCACAGTCATAAACTGCTAAGTAAACAAAATTAAATGGACTTAATTAATGCTGGGCATTCCCAAAGGGAAAAGCAAGGTAACTTTAAAAATTGATCGATCAACACCAGGCATTGTGGTGGACGCCTTTGATCCCAGCACTTGGGAGGCAGAGACACGGATTTCTGTGAGATCGAGGCCAGCCTGGTCTAAACAGTTCCAGGCCAGCTGGGGCTACAGGAAGACCCTGTCTCAAAAAGAAAAAATAAAATAAAATAAAAGATCAGTAGCAGTATTGTATACAACAGCAAAGTCCCACTAGGTTGTGCTCCCCTACCCCCAGCTCCTCTCTGGCTCTGTCCCATGGAGGTATATTGGTCTGGAACCCCAAAAGCTAGCAGCCAGCAGCTTTTGCTCGAATCCACTGAGACAAGCAGGGGGCAAAGTCCTAGAAGGCCAGAGGCATGGTTGTGATGAGGCAGCTAGGTGCAGCAGTGTCGCATATGGAAGTTGACGACATACTCCGCATTAGTCCTCTGCACAGAAATAGCAAAAGGCTCAAAAGGGTGAAAGGTGAAGGCAACGAGGCGTCGCACTGTGTGGTTGATGGGGCGGCCCAATAAGCCTGCCTGAATCTCAAACTTGAGCAGGCCAGAGTCCCGGGCATAGAACCTAAACAGAAAAAGGAGACAAAAAAAGGCAGTGTGATATTACCACCACCTTGAAATCTGGACAGCGGCGGTGGGGGTGGGGGTGGGGGTGGGACTCATTGGTTTACGTGATGAATGAACTCCCTCTTACATCAGTCCCAGGCTAGCAGCTTCAACTTTTCCAATAAGCTTATTTTAGAGGCAGAGGGACCATAAAATTAACTGTTATCCTGAGTAGTCTGTCACTTCTCTTTCTCAAGATGATCCTTAATAATACTCTATAACCTCCCCACTTCCAGAAGCACCTGTCTAAAGACTATCTGAACCAGAGCTAGAAATGAGATGCTAGCTGCAAATTTAAAATCTACATGTGTAATAAGTTTTTACATAGACACATTATTTAAAAAGTCAAAAAAGATGTTTTATAATATATTTTATTTAATCTAGTATATCCAAAATATTATCATTTCAACCGATCATCACTACAAAACATTCACAAGATACTGCCGTTCCTTCTCTTTCACTAACTCTTTGGAATCTGATGTGCACTCGATACCTGCACACAACTCTACTTGGTCTCACCTTGTACCACTACTCAACAGCTGCAAGTGGCTAGTGGCCACTACTGCACAGAACAATTGAGCTTTAGGCTCTATCTTAAAATTTTTCAGTTTTGCCAGGCATGGCAGTGCACACCTTTGATCCCAGCACTCGGGAGGCAGAGGCAGGCAGATATCTATGAGTTCAAGGCCAGCCTGGGTTACATAGTGAGTTGCAGGCTAGCTGGGGCTACAGGGAGACCCTGTCTTAAAAAGACCAAAAAAAAAAAATTTTTTTTTTTCTTTTTCAGTTTTAAGAATTCTTGCAACAGGTTTGGTGGTGCAGACCTGTAATCCCAACACTTGGGAAGTAGAGGAAGGAGGACCAGGAGTTCAAGGCCAGCCTGTGCTACATGAGACTCTGTCTCAAAACAACACAGAAAGTAATAAATTTCCTTTGAAAGTTCTTATTTCTCACATAATGGGGCTAGGAATGTTTGGTTTAGAATTTTTCATCTCAAACAGTGAGACTAAAGATGTTCTAAATGACTTGTGGTTTGGGAAATTGGAGATGATAAACAAACAGGCTGAAGGCTGAATCAGGGCAAATTCCAGAAAATGAATAGCCCTGAGCTAAAAAGCTCTGTGATTTTCCTTTTTGGAAAGCAAATATAGAAACAAACCTAAAGAGTAATTGTTTTTGATGAAATAATCCCATTCCCCAAAATTCATATCCTCAGTATTTAATTTAAATGAAATATTAACATGACATTATCAAATTTATTATAATGTAAAAATGCATACAAATAAATGCTCAGTAATAAGCAGACAGTTGAATAAATTATGACACATCTACTTGATGGAATACTATATCAGTGTCAGGACTGTAACTGTGAGGACTGTGTAACTAGATGGAAAACATTCTTAAAGCAGACTACAGAAAAGGATGCCCACTATGACTGCCAGCTACAACACAAACATACATAAACATGCACGACAAAGACCAGAATGGAACCTACAATGAAAGTGTCAGAATGACAGCACTGCCTCTGCCAATGCCCTCAGTGCCTTCCATTTCTCATTTTAAGTTAAAAACACAAAAGAATGATAAGAGAAGCCTCTGAAGTCACAGGTAATGGCATTGCAGGTGTGTTACCTAGGCTCCTCTTCTCAAATTAGAAAGGCAGGGAAGGAAGCAAGGGCAGAAATGTGTCTACTTGACTATATCAGTCAATGAGGCCCATTATGTGCTTTTATGTGTAAAAAGCACATTAACCTACCTGCATAGTTCCCAACATACACAGGTTTATAATTTAAAGTGAGTTGTTTATGCTTTTAAGTCTAACTACCAGTTTATAGGGGAAAAAAGGGGGAAGGGGGAATGAGAACTACAGTCAACACTACCCAGGGATGAAATGAACAAAATCTAGAATGTGGGGAACATTACAGGATGAACAACCTGGTGTCTTGAATGGATCTCACAGCAAGGAAAACAGAGGGAGTAAACCTGTAGAATGAGGAAGATGTTAAGGGGAGTGGCCACATGTGTAAGACTGAGTCAAAAAAGGAATTGTGCAGAGAATAATCATAGGGCAATAGGGAAATGGGAAATCTGATTAGATATTTGGTGATATTAGTAAGTGTCTATTTGTTTTGAGGCGGGGGTCTCACGTATCTCAGGCTGGCCTTGAACTTGCTAAGTAGCTGGTAATGACTTTGAACTCCTGATGCTCCTGCCTCCACCTCCCAAGTGCTGGGATTACAGGTGTGCACCACCACAACAGGTTTATGAAAGCTAACCTTTGAAGCTAGGTGATGGGTACACAAAGTCCTGATACTCTTGACTTTTTTGTATAGATATAAAACTTTCCAGAATAAAACAAAATTCTTTCAACTGAGCTTTGGAATTTTATTGCAGTAGGAAAGATTATGAATGGTGATTAATTGTACACTATGCTATCCAGATCCATTTAATAAAGAATGAAGCTGGACAACAAAAATAAATCTAAACAGCTGTGTGTGATAGGGGATGCCCATCCTCTCAGCTGGGGGTTGAGGAGTTCAAGGTCATCCTTGGCTTCTCACTAAGTTGAGACCAGCTTGGAGAGAGAGGGAAGGGAGAGGGAGGAAAAAAAAAAAATCACTGTTTCCATGCAAAAAAAAAAAAAAAAACCTTCCAAGCTGCAGCTTAGGGCTCCAAGAACACAAACCCTCCCCGCCAAGACAACCCCACTAGAGACAGGGCTAGTTCCTCTTCCTGGTACCAACTATAGCACAGGTTCCAGATGTGGAGGGATAGGTGTGACTTTTAGGAGAGGGATGCCTCTAAGGGGCTAGCTTTAAGATTCCAGCAGAAACAGTTTCTGCTACTTTTACTACTAAGTAACATAAATAATTTGAGCAGATGTACTTGATACAAAAACTGTTACAGAATGGTTTAGGTCATCATAAATAGAAAATACAGCTCCTTTCTGTGGGTACTTTTAAAAGGAGACAGCACTTGTCTGAATTAAGTTTTGAATTGGTTTTCATGGGACGCCAAGAGCAGTAGTAGCTAATTTATGAGCATAACACCTAAGTGATCAAAGCTCTCCCCACAGGATGGAAATAGCCTGCCCTTTCAATCTAGCCTGTGTACAAGTGGAGGCAGACAGTCACGATGACCTGATGTCAGGGAGAGGAAAAAGAGAAAGCAAACCACCTTTCACCTAGAGCAGTTTGCAGCTGTGGTGGTGAGCAAAGTACCTGATAGGGTGATCTCCGCAAGTCTTGGGTCGCTCCATGACTGACACCCACTTGTCATCGTAGCTGAAGAGAGACAAATCCAGATAAGGGCTCCCACTGTAAGACTGGGCACTGATGGGGAGCTGGCCTAGCAGCCGGCGCACTGCCTCCGTGTGCCCTCCGTACTTGGCATTTATAATCGTGTCTTTGAACCTAAAACAAAGTACCCATGAGGAAGGTTCCTTAGCAGTCACCTTGGTTTAAAACTCACAAACACATATAAAATCCACTGATTCTATAAAAAAAAAATGAAACCCTACATATTAAATGAAGGCAGACTCTCTTGTACATTTTAAGTCTGGCAAGCTGTAGTTACTTTTAAAAAGGAGAAAATAGAATTAAAACCATTAAACTTCTTTAGAAAACTAAGACAACAAGTTTAAAATGCATTGAACTGGACTCTGATAACTATTTCTACTCCTTTTTGATAACAGTTCCACTAGGAGAAAATATTCAAGAAGCCATTTCCCAGTGTAACAGCCTTAGACTGAATTAGGAAGGTACACAGGAGAGCAGAGAACCTGGACAGAAGCAGCCCCACACTCTTCTCAGAATCACCAGTATCCAGAAGAGAAGAAAGGCACATAGACATACCTCCTACCTAATGCTGCACTTATGTCTCACTACTCTAAGGAATACTACATTTAATAGGACTTTATATA